TAAAATATTTCTACTACACTATTTTAAACATGGAAAAGATCTTTCGATAATATCAAAAAAAATGAAAAAGAAAGTTTCTGAAGTAGTAGAATTTTATTATTATGTCAAATATATGCCACACTTTAGAAAAGTAGTAGAGCTCAGAAAAGAGATGAAACTGTATGAAGAAGGTTTGGCAAAATTGGAAAACGACATCAAAAATTTCAATAAAAAATGGAAAATAGTCACGAAGAAAAATGGTAAAAAAAGAAGAGGTTGTAAAAAATAAAGTTTTAAAAGTCAATGTTGATTTGTCTTGTAGAAAATTTTTAGAAGGAAATAGATTTTGATAAAGGGTAGATGACACTGTTTTATTTGATGTAGTATAGTTAGTTGGTGTTATAACTGATATTATAAGATGTATGATAGTTAAACTAATAGTGTCTTTGGTGATTCTAGTATCTTTATTTGAAGTAATTAATATTGACAAAATCCCTGTCTATTAATTATATATGATTCTTTTCGCGTATCATGGGAAATGGGCACAGCTTGAAAGGACCTCAATATTTTTAAAATGTTACCCCAAAATTCTTACCCTAGTTTAACATGTCAATAAACTTTTCTATAGGGGAGCGCCCCAAATCCCCTCCCCATGTCGATATCACAAATTTTAATTTTAAATTACGTGTAACGTCAAAATTTTTTACCCATAATAATAAAAAATGATGTCATTTTTGGACATTCCCCATACCTACAATTTTTACCCCTTTTTTTTTTGGTACCAAAGTTGAAGATTTATGATTTATTATAAATTAAACTTTTTCTACATCAAAATGAATAAAAAAAATAAATAAAATAAACTCTATTTAAATAATTTAAATACCATTACAAACTATTAATATTAAATATTATTATTGTTATTATTATTATATTTTTATTGTTGTTGCTGTTTATTTTATCTGATGAATTGTAATTAATAAATTAACAAAAATAAATCAAAGTCAAAAAGTTAAATCTCACTTCTCAGAATCACTTCTATCATCTTCTGCATTATTCCCATAAATTACTCTTAGTGCAACATTGAAAATTAGACAAAACCAAAATATAATTATTGCTTGTAAAGCTATAAATAAAAATAAAAACATTGATTTTGTATTTTTATTAAAAAAATATTCTTCATCTGGTGACCATTTAAGTTCTAAATATTGTGTAGATTCAACCCATGTACTGTAAATAACATATCCATAAAAATAGTGACGAGTTATTAACCAAGAAATCATAAAAAAACCAAATATTGTATCACAACTTTTATTATATTTTAAATATTTTAACATTTTTGCAAGCTAAAATATTATTTTCAAAAAAAATATAGATTCAAATTAATACTCAAGTTAAATTTAAAAAAAAATAGTTAATCAATGAATATTAAATCAGAATTTAAATTTACCGGTAATAAAATATCAGCAAAATCCATAATACATAATACAGCATTTCCAATTCTTGTAAAATTGAATATATATGAAGAAAACATCAAAAAAACTGTAATCATATGATGTGCAAGCATTTCTGAAAAATCTTTTCTTCTTTTTTCGATATTTAAAACAAATATTTGTTGAACCCAAAAAGCAAATTGTACCAAATAATACCATTTAAATATATATGACATCTTAACATGTGGATAACCTTTCCAAAAATGCGATGTATCAAACCAATGAGGATATTGATACATTATGTACTTTAAATAAATAAATTGATTAATTAATGATCAATCAATCAATCAATCAAATAAATATATGATAAATCAAAATCAAATTGAAAACCTTACCATTCCCAATGTCCAAAATGTAATATAATATAAAAAAGACCATCCTTGTTCTGCAAACCTAATTCTTTTTTTTTTAGTGATTCCGCCTCGTATTGATATTGGTATTAGTATAAATTTCATTACTAAAGCCCTTAATAATGTAAAAAGTAAAACCCAAAATGCTACAAAATATATATCATCAATACCCTTTTCATATAAACAAGTCTTTGGAATTTGATGTTGAAGAATGAAAGTTTTTTCTGCTATTGGTATCTTTAAAGTATAAGCTAAAATAAGAGCGCCTATTATACGTAAAGGAAATTCTAAAATTACACAATAAATAAATGAAATTAAAAAAATTTAAAATTGTTAATGTTCGTTATGTTTAAGTTTATTATGAATATTACCTATTTGATGTTCAACTAAATATGTTAAAATTCTTCTAATCATATTGTTTTTTTCGATATTTTAAATGTTATTAATATCAGCTTTAAAACCACACATTGTTTTAAATGAATTGAAAAAATAAAGTTTCTTTTCCTTCAATAAGTAAAGACGTTTTGGATGTTTTGGTAAAAAAAAAAGATGAATGATTTACATCAGACTCATTTTTGTGTCGCCATATTTGGATAGATATGTAACAAACATCACCACAGACGATCGTCGCCAGGCCTTTTTAACTTTTTTGAATGACAAAAAAAAAAAGTTTACTAAAGCTTTTTCATCACTACTTTATTATTTGACCAAGCCTTTTTACTTGCAAGTTTTTTTCATCACAAAATATTTCCAAATACAGTCAAACCAAAATTACTAATCACGTTTCAACGAATTTAATTATAATTCGTTGAAACGAGAGTTGACTGCATTTAATTACAAATATGTTAATGAAAAAAAGCTTTAACAATACATAATTGTATTCATTTGATTATAAAATGAATTCGGTCATATGAATTAATATTAAACTGATAATATGCGATAAAGCGCGACTAGTCCCTCCTAATCGAAAAAATTCAAGAATAAATTATTTAATTATTTCAGATATTCATAATTATTTTGGCATTCGTAATTATTTCGGATATTCATAATTATTCGTTTATTTCGAATATTCATAATCGTTATAATAATATTCATAACCATTTCAAACATTTATTACAATTATAAATAAATTTTAATTCCTTAACTTTCAAGTATGAGTGGTTTAACTGATTTAACACTAAAAGATAAGCCAACTCATGTTTATGAAGAATATGTAAGATATCTAACAGCCAATTCTTTTCGTCTATTTTGCCATTACCACTAATATGGCTCCTCGATTGGGGCATACTGCAACAAAACCAGACAAAGTGAAAATTGGTATTATCAAGAATTTCAGGGATCAAAATTTAGTTATTATCATCACAATTAGTTTTATAATATCCTATTTGTTAAGTGATATATAGAACTATTCCTATATAAAATGGTTAGTATGAAGTTAATTTATATTAGGAACTAAGGTTGTGGGCGAAACTCCTCCAGAAATCAATTCGGCAGGTTACACATTAATTGTTTATTAGAGTTTCGTCAGAGTTTCGCATTTGGGGGTTTTGTCAATCGTCAGAGTTTTGACAAGGTATATACTAATTGTTAATTAGAGAGTTTCGTCAGAGTTTTGACAGTCACTAAGAGGTTTTAGCAAGCAACCTTACATGGAACCCAAGAATTATAGTACTATTATTTGAAATATTGTTTTTATATTCATCAGCAGCTTTGGTAAAACCTTCATCTTCTAAGTTGGAGATACTAGTTTTAACAGTAATATTGTAGCTGTTTTTTTTTATTATCTTTGGATTATCATCCAGAGGGAAATTTCCTCAATCCTATTTAAATTACTTTCTTATTTTCGATCAAGGTCATTTTTTAACTTCAATTTGAGCAACTAATTGACCATTTTGTTGTTATAATTGTGTTAATTGAACTTTTAACTCATTGATTTCTTTTATTAATTCTTGATTAGTTAAGCCTTTAAGTTTTTCATTTCTCTCAATTTCTAGTGCTTCTTCAGTCTCATTTAATTGTTCTTGTAGGGAGTTTATCTGTCTTTTGTAAAAAGCGGACTGACTTATTTCTTCATTAGGTAAGAGGGGAAGTTCTTTCTCTCCCAAGTCTTCATTGTTTCTAATGCAATAACAAGTATTTTTACCACTGACAACATCAAAATCTGGTTTGGTTTGTAATCTACCACACCTATTACACTTTAATAGTCTTCCATCCCAATACTTTTCTTCACACTGTTCACAAACATGTCATCTGAAATTCATTCCCCAGTTATTTTTACTACAGGCTCTTATTTGATGAACAGATTTATTATTTTTATTTTCAAATTTAGAGCAGAAATCACAAGTTTTTTTTAATTTCTTTTTCCAATTATAAAATTGTGTATTCTATTGCAATTTACTTGTTTAGACTTAAATTCTATTTGAGCAATCATTTCTTGGTTGTGAGACTTTTCCTTTTTGATTAGCTTTTGTAATTTTTGAATCTTGGTTTTGCTTTTGTTTTTAATTGCTTAAATATGCTCTGTTTAGTTGAAGATGGCTTGCTCTCTTCTTCTTCTATAGGTAAGGCAGGTAAAGACTTATTATCCAAGTAGATCAGATTCTTTAAATTTTCATTTTGTGTTTCACTATCAGTTAATTGCTTGCTTAGTTTTTCTATTTTTTTGCTCTTTTGACTCAATTCTTCCTCTAATTTTTCAACTTGGGCTTCTAGATAAGAAATCTTTTCACTAGCAGTTTGAGTTTCTTGATTTTTTCTTTTATATCTTCTGCTTGATTTTTACTTCACTTTTCATCAACTATTAAGATGTTCTTAATTTTCTTCTTGTTCTGTTTGTACCTCATCTTCTAATACCCCACCTTTGCTTCCAACTCCTTAATTCATTCAATCTTGCTTTCAATAATATCCTTGATAATGACATCTTTAGCAGGTCTATCTCCAAAGTTTTTGCCACTTCTTATTTTACCAATGATAGCATTCTTTTCACTTTGATGCTCCCAGTGCTTTTCATTTTCAGATTCATAGTAATTGTTAACAATTTCTTCAATGACTTTCTCTTAGTTTTCATTATGTTCTATAATATATTTCCTATACAAACTATCTTGAAAACAAACATTCATAAACTGTTGCCTTAATGGTCTGCTAAACAATTCCTTAAATCTTGTTCAATATTCTTACTACAGCGAGGAAACCTTACTCTCATATCTACCAATATTTGGTGAATCCTTTCTGTTGCTTCTTGCTTAAATCAACTTCCTCTTCTAGATTTTTTAATTCTAATTTCTTGTTCTTTATTGGATAATTGCTTTTTCAATGTTTCAATTTCATTGATTAGTTCTTTATTTGGTTGTTGTTGTTCTTTTAGGATGTTTGTCATGATTTTCTTGTTTGTTCCTTTTTTTTGTTTATTCTTTTAATATACTTATATCCTTAGGGTATGTTAAGTATATAATTATTTTAGTACTTTTTACTTTAAATGTGGAAAAAGCTAACAATATTTATTAACATTAATATAGATAAGCTCTAATTTCTTCAAAAATATCTGCTTTCTTGGTTTTCAATAAATTGAATTCAGCAAAAAGACTATTAGCAATTTCCTGAACTTTCACTGCACCAAGATTAGTTGCTTTGAAAGAAAATGTTAATATTTCTGTATACTTGGTAATTTCTTAAAATAAATTCCCAAATTTGATTTGATGTCCAAGTATTGAAAACCCTTTCCACCTTCATAACATTGAGCCTTATTTAATCCTGCTGGGCTAGGCTTTTTTATCACCTCAACCACATGATCTAAAAAATCTACTCTTGTTCTTCTATAGAGTTTTTTAATCATCCCAAAATTTCCATTGCATTTGAGTTTAGTATGACCAGGGACTCATAATTTGAATTTCTGGTGTCAATTGATATCATAACATCCTGAATGCATCATATTTTAAGGATTTTAATTTGCTATCTTCTTCTAGACCAGCCAGAAAATCTCTGTGGACTGATTTCAGCTGGTAAAAATACAATTGATTGAGTTATTCTATTGTTACTTCTTCATGGACTTGGTAATCCATGAATTTCTACATAATTTTCTAGAAAATTCTTTACTACTTCTGCAATATTTTTATCAATTACCATTTTAGTTTTCCATTGAGCATCCTTTTAATATTAACATGAATTCTTGGCAAAAGACCATTATTTATCAAATGATTTCTAATGTTTTCAAAATAAGTTCTGCCAATTCCTAACATATTAAGATAAGTTTCTTGACAAAGAGGTGTATTGTGATCCCAGTGATAGAAAGTTCTTTTGTTAGATCTGGTTTCCTTTTTAAGGCATCTGCTGGTGCTTGTTGATCCACCATCCATTGCTTTAAGTTTGGCCATCAAAAATATGTCTTGTTCAGACTTGAAAAAAGCTTGAAAGGTTTCCCTTAATTCTGCATATTCTTCCTTGGGAATTCTTGAAAAACAACCACAATTACATCCTTTTTCTAAAAAATCAATTTCATTTTCATATTCATTATAACTATTTATTATATTTATTAATTTTCATATACTTATAACCCTATATATAATTTTATGTTCACTTTGTAGGCTTTTATTAAATAAACAAAACCCTTGCAATATCATTGCTTCAATTATTCCTATATAATTTCAGAAATATATTAGTGCCAAATACAGTGTCCAGCACAATTGTTTTTGGAGAAAAAGTAATTAATTACCCAGTATTTTGGTTATTGAGTTAAAGAGTTCAAAATAATTACAGATGTAATTTCAGTTATTTAATAGGATTAATTTTGGTTACTACTGAATACTATTTTGGCATTACAGATTACAGTAAACAACTATATTTATTTGATCAATAATCTAAAAAAAAATTTGATTATTTTCTTTTGGATCTAAAACTCTGAATATATTTTTGGTAACTTTAATGGTCACAACATCACTATGTAGAAAAGTTTTACAAAAGTCATAGATAATGGCTATATATATTGATTGATTGAATTTGAAAGATTGTTTATTAATTATGTAGTAAGCTTTATAAAACTGTTGAAAATCATTTTGATTGTAAAAATATTATAAAAAATAAAATCAAACTCTAAGTCATTTTAGTGATGAATCTGGAGGAGCAGAATTTGGAGATCTTGTAACCTTTCTAGGATAATGGGTTAACATATCCTAACTCTTATCTATAAAAAATTATGAACAATTTAGCAAAGAAACTAATCATGGTACTATTGATAAAACCATTACCAAAGAAAGAAAAACAAATCACATTGATAAATTGATTTTACAAACATTAGTTCTTGATAGTGAAGGATAATTTAATTAGACTATGACAATATTAATATTAATATGGAAGACATAGATAACATAATATTACTATATTGGTGATGCTCAACTAATTTGCTAAATTTTGACCCCTGAAATTTCTTTGTATTAGCAAAATCTTTTTTTTTAAGACGATGACAATCACACCAAATAATCCACCAAAATCTCCCTTGAGGGCCATAGAGCAAGAAGGCTTTGGATATACAAGTGCAACATATGGGTGGCCAATAATTATCACAAAAACGATAGATAATATTTATGAAACAAGATATGAGCTTGATCCCATAAAAGATGAAGAAAAAAGTAACAAGGCAAAAGAAATTATGAATTCATTGGGTACTGTGAAATATGAAATGCAAAGAAAAAGGGTCTTGACGTATGTCAATTTTATTATATTTTTTGGGGTGAAGGTTCCTACACTTTTTCATTTATTTAAAATTATTATATATATATATTATATGGGGC